AGCATCCGTTTATAAAAAAGAATCTTCTCCAAAACTGGTCTTAAAAACTGTCCTTAGAGACGAATCAAAGGTGTTTCAGGTGTTGGTACCGAGTGCTGGTGATGTGCTGAAATACGAACGCGTCGAGATGTTCTACCATCGTGAACCAGAGACACGAGCACAATTCGTCGTATTGTTCACCGCATCAAAGAAACGACTCGCTCTCACTCCACTTCATTTGCTTCCGTTCGGTGAATGCCAATCCATGAAGAGGTCAGTCAGTTTAGGTTTAAGCCAAGAGTATAAACTGCCTTAAGCGTCTTCCACATGTACCTAAACATTTCAACACAACTTGCACCTCCCATAAACTGGTGACCAATGTCCTCTCAACCCCTTTCCAGTTAGTTACACGTTATCCCGAATGATTCTCATGCGGGTGCGAATTCTGTTCGCCCAGATATTGAAGGCTTATGTCTCGTTGACAGGTCCTGATGTCCATTCTTGAGCCCCTCCCAAGGAAATTTCGTTCTTGAAATGAGTCCACTAACTTCTCATAGTTTTCCTTACAGAGATCTGGAGAAGGCAGATGGGGTAGACAAATGGTTACGAGCATCGCAATTTGCTCACAAAGCAGCGGTTGGTGACTGCGTAATGACGGTATCTGACAGTGGAGAGGTTGTCGTTGATCGGATAGTCAAGGTATGTCAGGTTTAGACAATTGCAGTCTATTACAAAAGAAAACAGTACCTAAATGTCGATGAAACCAGCCAATTCTTTCTCAGGTCGGAAGGCAAGTTTCTGAAGGCATTTACTCTCCTATGACCGTAGATGGTGCGTTGATTGTCAATGGAGTCCTATCATCGTGTTTCTCTCAAGTTGAAAGCCACACGGTGCAAAAGGTACTTTATACTATTATTTTTGCACCATTTTGGTTCTGATTTTGGTGCAGTCACTCATAGGGATTACGGTAACCGGGCGTAGTGTTCTCCTTAGGGATTACGGTAACAGGGCGGAGTGTTCTCTCACAGCGACACACCTTCACCGTTTATCGTCGGATAAAAGTTCTATGTTCTCGATCTATGATTTGTCGCTGTTTCAAGAGCTTTGGGTCTAGTATCTTCTCCCCGAACGGCGTATTTGAGTTAGCAGAGGAAGGATACGGTAGTCGCCGCTGAACCACTGCCGCTCGCCGTGGGGATTTAGGGAGAAGTTCCGCCACCCAAGAGCTTTTAGTGTCCTGCACCATATTCCTTCACATCACTGGGACAGCCTTAAATTGCTGCATGTCTTCTAATATGAAATTCTGCCAAAAACAACAATCAATAACCGACAACAACAACAAACATTTGTTTTACAGATTGTCTATGACTTCCTCACCTATGCCTACGAATTCTTCGGAATGTCATATGGTCAGAACTTTCTCCTTCTCTTTTCTTTTGGTCTGATGTTCCCATACATCTGAACAACTGAGTAATTCCATTTTTTCAGGGCGGAACTCAGTGCGACAGGGTATTCCATCGTTTATCAACTACGTCCACGAGTTGAGTCATGTCTTCCTGCCATTTTCTAAATTCTAATCATCTCTTCATCCGTTTCATCACTATAGAGCTACTATTCCGATCACTTCGGTGTCTTCACGGGTCTCCATTTCTAGATAATTTGGAGTGAATGTGTGCATTACCGTATAGGACATATACATATGTGGTCCTTGAAAGTATAATTTAATATATTGACCTTAATATATACGATTCGTTGACTAGTTTGCTATACATACATGGTTTTATCAAAAATCTATTCATTTCTTGCTCTCAAATGATTAAAAAACGCTCACTCCGGCCAGTCACTTCGTTGGTTTCATCATACTCTGCCTGTCACCACAAATGCAAATTTCACGTGTTCCGCTCCTAATCAATTTGTTTCGCCAAATAATTTAATATTAAATGAGAATAAATTTCTAAATCATTCAGAATTTTCTTTGTCTTTCCGGGCAATGATCAAGTAGCGTCACGTGAAGTCACCACATGGAGTCTGGCGCAGAAATTAAATCCCTGGATCGAAGTCGCCCCGGAGCAGAAAGCACATAACACCATCCTCTAATAGGTTGACTTGTTCTTCTTGAATGGGAGGGTCGAGGATTCCATCCCGCAAATCGTTGCGAGATGAGCATGTTTGTGCTCAAAGAAGCACAAGCCGAAGAGCTTCAGGAGAAGAGTAGAGTCATCGCACATACTGAAGCAGAGAAATGGGTACATTGACAACTAAGCTAAAATGAAGGGCCCATATAGTCACTAATCTGTGCAAATTCCCTGGTCGAACACAACGGATACGAAATCGGAACAGAAATTTGGCTCCTAGGTGGAGGTGCCATCCCTCTTCGTAAACCAAAGTGAGGTTTAAGCCATTACGTCTGCCTCGAACCTGAAGATGAAAGAGTACGTACATGTATGAAAAAACCACAGAACCATCCAACAAGGAAGGCAATGGTGTTTGAGGTTCAAGGAGCGACCACGACGAGTCCAAAAGAAGAGGTGGCGGTACGTGGTCAAGAAGGACTTAACTAACGGCAGAAGATACCGTTGGTCGATGAAAGCGGAGGCCACCGACAAGATAGCGGAATTTGCGACGGTGTGGGATTAACGCTTGGGAAAAGGAGAAGGAGTAGTCTGTCTCTGACTTTGACTTGCCATACAATTGAATTCAACAAAAAGGATAAAAACGTCCCGGGACGTTAATCAATCCCGATTGATTATGGGGATGCGTTTACGCAACCGATTGGCAACAAGTTCATGCAAGTAGCCTTATCTGACGGCATTATGATACCCTTAGTGTTGGGCGAATTGGTCTAATTTGCCAGCACCGTTCGAATGGGTAAGTTGAACTATGCGTTAGGATGAATAACTTAATCCCTCTATTTTCCTCTAACAGCCAATTTTAGGCTCAAAACAGCCGCCACCACCTGTCCATGCACAAAAGCCAGTACCTAGAAGTAAGTTGCCCATGCACTCCACACTCCCAGAAGATTCTTCTGCACCCCAATCATCTTCGGGTACAACACATACCCCTCAAAGAGCGCAGTCACCACCTCAGAAAGGAGCTCATTTGTCCCAGGACGCTCGGCCTATACCACCACCTGCAAATCCACCTGCACAAACACCCAAGTCTAAGTCAGGCCATTCTCCTGCCAAATCGCCACCTCGGCAAGCTGTTCTACAGCTAGCAACGGCTAATCCAAGAACTAACAAAGTGCTGGCTCCCACACCAAAACAATCTTCTCCAAAATCTGGTCGTAGACAGCTGCTTCCTTCTTCTACACCCGGAACTCCACGAAGAGCTACATCACCCGTACCTCAAGAAGGCATGATTAGGTTAAAGCGAGTAAAAAGCGTCCCCAATACAGAAATAGCTGGAACACCAGCTATCTCAGCACCATCTGAACCAGCTGTGGAGTTCGTTGTAAGTTTGTGAAAGCATTTCGAGAACTTTTGGTTTGTATTCGAATATAATCAAATTTAGCCCCCGACAGAGTACGTCGACATGTCACGTATCGCGATCCGTTCCGTACAGCTGCTCTTTGTTGGAGAATTGTGCTTTCATCTGATTGCAGCATCGTATGGGCTGCTCTACACCGAGCTTTTCTTAATGTTCAAGTCAGTGCCGATTTGAGAACAAGTTACTGAACTCATATAGGCGAGCTAGTTCTGTAGTGAAGACAAATGGGTACTGACAAACTACAACTAACTAACTAACTAACTACTATAATTACTGAAGGGCCCGGTAACATAATAAGAAAACAAAAGGAAATAACTGCATTACGTCTTGCTGTAATGAGCAGGAGACGGAATATCCGCAATTTCCGTTTTTTTCAGAAAAACCTTCAGCTTATATGCATGGAGAGCAGCGCTGATTGCTCCAGCAGCTCTAACATTGGCAGCTATCCTTACGATTCGGACCATATTTGGCATCTTTGCAATAAAGTAGGTATATTCGTATCATTTCTAACAAGATCCTACTTACTATAAAGCGCTTAGTCTGTCTGTCTGTCCGTCTGTCTGTCTGTATGTCTGTCACGAAATTCCTTAGCTCCTTTAGATCTGCCTGGAGAGACCGGGTCAAGTGTGGGATGGGTGGGCCAGGTCTCGAGAAGTATAAAACACACATCAGCTTGGCGGAGCCCCGTCCACAGTGGGCGTGGCGTGCATCGAAATGAGCTGTACTGAGGACCATGATTTCAAATTCAGTCATAAGACGGCTTCAAAACTGGCGTTTAAAGGTGGCTTGAGGTGTGCATTGGTAAGTTAGATCGAACTGGGGAGACCCACCCCCGATGGGCGGGGCGTTCTCCAAAAATGCAATGCTTTAT